GGATAAGCTACAAATTTGAAAATAATCTGAGGTGAAAGCTGTAGATCATACCTGATGTCAAGATATTGCTTATCTCATGTACTGAGAAAGGATTTTTATCTGATTGTAATGAAGCTTAGGATCTTTAAGAGTTAATCTATGAATTGGTGGTAGAGTATATGTTTCTGGTCGCTAGAAGTATTAAGATATATTACACTCTAGGAAACTTAACACAGGAACTCTTCTTATCCTCGCCACGAGTTTCATGGCAAAATTATGAGCTCAACATTACTGGTACCACATTCAACAAGTGTAATTACCGGAGAAGATAGGATTTGCATCTTAATCCCAGAGAACAAAATTGAAAAATCTAATGATCTGATCAAGATTTGAGAGAACAAAGGGAATTATTAAATTGAAGGACCTCTTCAATATTGTAATATGCATGGCATTTTATAACCTCTATTGAATTAAACCAGTCCAAGTAAGGAAACACGGCTTGAAAGTGAACAGTACGATTCATAAACCTACAGATTTGGTGGGTGTTTAAGCATCCATTCTCTTTTCTCCCTTTTTTTCATAACCACCAGCATCCCTCCTGAGAAAAATTGTAGAAGTGTTTAAAAGGAAATCAAGCTGAAATATCACACAGGACAGAAACATTTTTATCGCAAAAAAAAAAAAAGAATAATTTAAAGTTGTCTGCCAAAAAATAGTTAGAAGATGCCAAAAAGAATGCTTTATTGCAAAATATTGAATTTTTAAATTTGTTTGCAAGGAAATCAAGTTAAAATATCACAGAGGACATTAGCAATCTTTTCGCATAAGAGTAACCTCTGCCAATTGAATGTTAACACTTAGCATAGCCTTGCAGGGTGGCAGGAAAGAAAACCCATCGAGAAGCTTGACACACTTCAAGCCCCATTATGCCGTTAAAAACTTCATAAGGTGATGCCCATTGCACATGATTTGATGGATAATCTAGAACGTAGAGGACAACCGATGCATCTCAAGCGCAAAGTATAGGACAAGTTAAAAGGTACCTGGTTGAATATTATTTTTAAATTTGATTGATGATTCGGTATATGAAACTAACTGGGCCTTTTGTCCTTGTGATATGCATAAACAGTGCATTGGTCGTGGGAGAAAAGTATCTAAAAACAAAATTGTCTGGGCCATTACGTATACTCTCAAGTGGTGTTTGGCAGCACTTTTAAATTTATTGCATCTATGTTTGAGTCATAATAAATATTGTATACAAGTGTGAAAAGTTATTTTTGGCCAATCCCTCTCTAAGAAAAATTCTGAGAAATTTATTATCCTCATCATTGTCAGAGTGGCCAATCAATGTTCGACGACTCAGTCTCACCGTAAGCAGTGCCTTTTGGAATTGAGAAATGACAAGTCTTGCCTTCCCCTAACCCCAATAAAAGAGTAATTATATTAACAAATAAAACAGAAATACAAAACCAAATGTACAAAACTTAATAATAAGAGCAAAAGCTGAAGGAAAAAAAAAACAGTTTATGGTTGGCATAACTATGGCCATACTTTTAAAAAAATAATTTTTTTATTTAAAAATATAAGATATTTTTAGAAGAGTTGGATGTTAAAAAATTTAAAGCATTTTTAATCTTTTGAAATATAATTATTGCTTTTTTTTAAAAAGTGTCCCCATTAATAATGAATTTATAGTTATTGTAGGATATTTAATAAGAATAAATATGAAAAAATAGGGTTAGTTTGAAAATAGGTAACTACTTTATTGAAGGTGAGATTCAGTTAAAAATATCTTATATTTTTTAATAGAGGGAGTATATGAGTAAACTATTCAAACATTTGTTTTATGTCTTAGTAAACAGTATTTTGACTTAAAGGAGGAAATAAATTTTCTTTATCTTCAAATATTTTTAAACTTTGTCCTCTTGAAGTTAATAAATGCTAGGGCTGTGTAGAAGTCAGGCAATCTTGTCTAATAAGATCTAATTTGAATAAATTTAATGCTATTAAAAAATTGACGCAACAGATTAAAAAGAATAATAAAATTATATTTTATTTTTTAGTTGAATTGAATATATTTCTAAACTATTTAGTTCAGTTTGATTCTATAAAATTATTTAAATATAATTATAATTATTTTTATTTTTAATATAATTAAATGTGGAACTTAACACGTGATTGTTTAATGTAATTTAGATATTTTAGAATTTGTTAAATGTTGTTATTAATTATAGCTAAAATACTTTTTTTTATTGGTGATTGTTTTGAGTTTATTATAATTAAATTTTTTTGTGATAAAATTTATATTATTATTAATATTTTTATTATTTTAATTAAGTTTGTTATATTAAAATACATTGTTAATTTTTATAAAAGAAAAAAAGACAAAAAATACATTAGACTATTGAGACCATTTTTATAATTTTATAAATCAAGTATCAATCTTTTGTTATGAAAGAGATTGTCCTTTGAGTTTGGGCGGAATATTATTTTATTAGTATTTCATGCAGCCCTACTGGATGCTATTGCTAGGTAAGCCGAGCAGGTTTTAGATGGCCTAATTCCCATGACACCTGAACAACGATGGCGACAAGTTGGTATGCTATTTGGAGAATGTGTAACCATGTGGGAGTATCTTCAGTCGAATTTATTGGTTGTCCCATAAATGTCACTCTATTACAAAAAAGTCCTCAAGTACATTTTATAAACTTATGATGTTTATTTGTGGTAGAAACAAAAAAACAAACCAATTTTTTTGGCCAGCAAAGAATAAACCAATTTCTAGATATACATGACAAACTTTCTTTTATTTTAATACATTAAAATTGACATGTACATCAATTCTCTCTAATTTTTTGATAGCTCCATTGCAGTAGATAAATACTCACTTCGTCATAAATTATAGGAAATTTTTAAAAGAATTTTTTATCCCAAATATAAGAAACTTTGAGTATGTTAAAATTTTATTAAATACATTAATTTAATATTATTTTTTTATTTATAATTAATTTTTATTTCTTCTCTTTTCAATATATTAAATAGTAGGTATTTTTGAAAGTTTATATTTTTATTTTAAAAAGATAAAATTATTAGGTGTATTTAATAAAATTTATTGATATATAAAATTTTATCTAAAAATATTTTATAATTTAAAATAAAAAGAATAGTATGCCAAGAGTTTGTTTGTAAGGCCATGTTGGCCCTTTGAGTTGTGGTGGGGTGACCCTTGCATGCATGTTCTGTCTTTTTCCTTTTTCTTTTAAAAATTTACCAAGCATGGTTTTTTTTTTTGGCATGGGAAGGAAGTTATATTTTTTTTTCAAAACATTAAATTATAAAAAAAATCAATATTTTTATTTTTTTTATCCTCTTCTAACATTTCACTAAATAATTATAGTTCAAAGATATTAAATAACACACTTGATACTTTACTAATGCAATAAGACATTGATCATTGCAAAATTTTTTTATACGTGTAATTAATTTGGTCACATGCAAATAAATTTATACACAAAAGACCTAAAGATGATGAAAAAAATAATAAGACTTCTTTAAGAACAACAAATGTTGTATTCCAAGGGATGTTTAAGAAAAGAGAACATTGAAAATGGATTATAATTTTTTTTATTATACCTTACACAAAATTAATTATAATTATGTCATTCGCATTTATTATTTATTCAATTAGTGGCAAATAAATGTAATCCAACTAAAGACCATACTTAAAAAAAAGAAATAAATAACATATTAATGTTATTAATTTCAAATACATAATATGTAACAAAAGATTAGTAGGTCAGGATAGAGCAAGAAAAATGAGTTAGGCCCACAAGTTGGCCCATTCAACCTGTCATTTTTCATAGGTTAGATTGAAAGAATTAAGCCATTTTCTTAAACAAGCTGGGCTAAAATGGGCTGACTTGTGGGCTAGCTTATTTTTTTTAAAGAATAATTTATTTTTTTTAATTATAATATATCTTCTTATAAATCTATAACGATGATAATATTTTTTAAATTTATAATTTATAAGTCTCAAATATGGTCTTTACATTTGAAAAATAATGTAAATTTTTCTTACAATTTGCAAATGAAATTTTTATTATAGTTTCTAAATTAATTATTTATTAGTTTTTATAGAAATATTTTGAATATATATTATTTATTAATTTCATAAGATCTATTGATTGAAATCACAAATATAAATTCGTTGAGAAAAATAATATGAGAAAAATCATTGTCTATATATATAATATATCGATTATAAATTTTAAATTATTTTAAAAAAATTAAATTACATTTTGTAAGTTGACCCGCGGGCTCACTAGCCAGTCAATGTGCGGGTTGGGTTGAATTTTTTTAACCCGTTTATCTTAGTGGGCTAGCTTAACTCAACTCACTAAAACTCTAACTTGTGCGGGTTGTTCCACAACCCATTTGTATAGCTTTAGGTTAGGACACTAGTTTCTTTAAAATAAAAAAAACATTAGGTCACGTGTGAGTTTATTGTATAAGAAAGTAACTTTAAAAATATATGTAAATTAATAATTAAATAATATCTAGCTTGTGCATTAGAAGGGTTGGGGCACTAGCTTTTTAAAAGGATTTTATGAAAACCATATCACTTATTGAGCACAACTTTTTTTAAAGACACCCATTTTCTGACACATCAAGAATATTAGAGACATCATCATGAAAGATTAGGTGATAACTTTTGATCATATTTATAAAGAAGTTAACAGATATGCCGATTTGTTGGCCTGTCAATCTTCTTAGGATAACTTAAATATTAGAATTCTTAATAATTCATCACCTAATTGTAAAAACTTTATAATTTTAGATATAACTTGATGTTGTCTCTTTTGTATGATTATACCGTATTCTTGTATTAAGAAAATAAGAAAAGTGGGAAAAAGTAGCTTGTTTTTTGCTGGTACTGTGGGATGCGAGTGGTGTTGTTTCTTAGTGAGTGGTCTCAAGAGCCAATGAACAGAGGACCAGTGGGTGGATTCTAAAGCACGGCGCGCATTTAAAGGTGGAAAAACAAAGTGAAAAGGAGAGACATAAAAGAAAGAATTTAGACATCGTTAACGGTGAGAGGTTGCTCGCCCTTAATTGTTCAATTTCAAGGTAATGCCATACTCACCTCACTTCTGCTCATGGAGTGGGCTGAAAAATCTGTGTACGCCGTCCCCCCCTCCCCCCCTCTTATTATCATCATCCTTCTCCCTGCTCTCCCAACATTTTTGCTTTCACTCATCTTCTCTCTTTTTTCTTGTTGGCAATTTCCCAGTGATTAAAGCTACAACGAATTGCAATTGAAGGTATCACTCCTCGTATGCCGAAAACGGTAATGGAAATCTATTCCCTAGATTCATTTCTAGTAATCTCTTAGTAATCTCGAGGTAAGATGTGTTACTTCAATTATTTCTTTGTTTGTTTGTTTTTTTGGAAAAGAAGTTGCCTTGTTCTTGGAAATCTATTTCTCTGTCTCTGTTTAGCTTATGTCCCTTTTATTTCTTTTTATTTTACTGAGTTCCGTAAGGTCTCTGCACTACCTGCTTAAGCCTTTTTTTTTTTTTTTAAATTATCCAGTGTGACCATCCAAAAGGCATGCACTAGCTTGATTGTGTGGTGCACATTGAAACTCTGATTTGGCTTGTATGCCTTTTCACTTGAACATGCAGCTTTTATTAGCACCTGGGGGAATTGTTGGAGGTGGAATCTGCTTTCGATGTGTATATATATTTGCTTCCCATACTATTACCTCATTCCTAACTTCGTTTCCAGTTTAAAGTTCTTCACTTGCCTATTAGGCCAAGAACAAAATAGAGCCTATCATTAGTCTTTCTAAACTTGTGTCTAGGGGCAAACATAAATTCATTGGTTTTACATCGTTGATCAAGTCATCAGACACGTTGGGCATGTCATTTGGAAATCCAAATTAAAAATTAACCTGAAAGTGCATTCGTTGTGATGATGAATAAGTGCAGCATTATTTTGTATCTTGAATATCATATACAAAATAAATAATTGGCAACGAAAGTAAAAATTTAGGGAGTTTTATTTCAACCTCTGCTAACTGAATAAGTAAATTCAGGACATTTTCCGTTTAGATGATCAATTCTTCTGGCAAGCAAGGAGGTTCCATCAGTTCTTTAGCAAACCAGTCGACTCTTCAAAAAAAATAAACTGGGTTGTAATGTAAGGACATTGTTTCTATGGCCACTTTCATTAATTAAAAGATGTACACGGAATAATTTGTCGTAATATATCTGTCTGAAATCTTAAATCAAATGTTACAGGGAGAAGATTAGTCATGCTTGCTTGGAGGCTTCTCAAGACCCTGTTAAAGCATCCAAATTCTTTTTTGTTCCTGAAAAACTAGGAGATATATTCTTAGTCTTGATAAGAATTGGCATACTTGTCTGCCTCATTGCATCTGTTTCACTTGCTGTTCACTCGTCATTTTCTAGACCGGCTGGGTGGTTCCCATTACCAGACCATTTACATGCCTTCCAGAATTCTTCAGACATGGATAGGAGACCCACTAATGTCTCAAATATTTTATTTGGCATTGGTGGTTCGGCAAAGACATGGCATAGCCGCAGCTGTTACAGTAATCTTTGGTGGAATCCAAACACCTCTAGAGGTTTTGTGTGGCTTGACGAGAATCCTGGATTTGATTATTTGCATCCAAAAGTGTTAATCCCACATCAAATCTCTAAGGACTGGTCTCGATTCAAGTACTTGCACTCACAGTCTGCAGTTCGGATAGCTCGGATAGTTTATGAAAGCTTTAAACTTGGATTGCCAAATGTGAGGTGGTTTGTAATGGGAGATGACGATACAGTGTTTTTCACAGAGAACTTAGTTACAGTGTTAGGAAAATATGATCATAATCAAATGTATTATATTGGTGGAAATTCTGAGAGTGTGGAACAAGATGTGATGCATGCTTATGACATGGCTTTTGGCGGCGGCGGACTTGCAGTTAGTTATGCATTAGCAGCTCAACTAGCCAAAATATTAGATGGTTGTCTCAACAGATACTACTATTTCTATGGTTCTGATCAAAGGATCTGGGCTTGTGTGAGCGAAATTGGCGTGCCTCTTACAAAAGAAAGTGGGTTCCATCAGGTACACTTCATTTCCACTTTTCTCCCGAGTATTTAGCGTGCGTACACACACACACACACAGTTTGGTAGCATAGAATATTATGTTCCTATTTTAAATTTGGAAGTTGAAACGGTTTCTTTATGCCTCCATGTTGAGATCAGTAGAGATGCAAGTGAGAGGTAAGAGTTTATGCATGCTCTCTCGCTAAGAGAACCATGCAATGGCTTACCTTTTTATGCTTTATGCCTTTTCCCCGTTGGAAAAGAAGTTCGAGAGGAAAAACTTAGCTGGGTTTGGACTGTAGAAATGTTCTTACACTGCTGGCTTTATGCCTTGCTTGAAGCAATGTTTAAATGAGGATGTTATGGTAGGTGGCTATAATAAATTTATTAAGAGGGAAGAGAGGAGCACTGAGGACGTTCCTGTGCATGCTAGAAAAAGAACCAGCAAGAATGTAGTTGGCATTGTTGAAATACGAAAATGCTATTCAATGTCTTATAAAATCTTGTTTTGTCATGAACGAAAGCTTTGTTTAAGAAATGGATACTATATTCTTTATAATCTTTCTAGATGGCTTGTGGTGGTGTTTAAGGCTAGCGGTAGGGGCTGTGCAGTCACTGTCCTTGCTATTTCAAGTTCCACCCTATTTTATGTGGCCTCTCTGCGAAGGTGCTAAATTTGAAGTTTAATTTGCTCCTTTTGCTTGAAGTCATGATCCTTGTGGGAAGCAGGGGCTCCTACCTGCTCAATGGGTCATGTATTTGTTTAATGCTTATTACTGGTGCTAATAAACTAATATGTATCACCTTTCCTCATATTGGATCCAGTCAGTGAAAGGTTAAAAGAGGATTTGACACCATGCGAAGGTCAGTTGTCATGATTCACACTGATTAAGAACTTGTGGAAGAAAACTTGGATTTTAATTAGCATATGCTGAATAGTACATTCATGTTCACTAGACGTACCTGACAGCGAGGTCAAGGACAATGTATCTTCTCTTCATGCTTGACGGATATGAAGTCTTCGAAATAGTGCCTATTTTTTCTGTCTTTCGTCAGTAGGTTTCGAAATATTTTTGTTACCTTATCCTTTTTCTTTCAGCTTGACATAAGAGGGGATCCATATGGTGTTTTAGCAGCACACCCGGTGGCACCACTAGTGTCTCTCCACCATCTTGACTCCTTAAGTCCATTGTTTCCCAACCAGACTCGGAGAGATTCCTTGGACAGCCTCATTCGGGCATACCGCGTCGACCCGGCTCGGATACTACAGCAAAGTTTTTGCTATGATCATAAAAGGAAATGGTCAATATCCATCTCGTGGGGTTACACAGTTCAAATTTACCCAACAATGTTGACGGCTAAGGATTTGCAGACACCATTGCAGACATTTCGGACATGGCGAAGTTGGAGCGATGGTCCCTTCACTTTCAACACTCGGCCTATGAGCTCTGACCCATGCCAAGAGCCAGTCAGATATTTCCTGGATCAGATTGAAGAGGTTGGTAGCAGTGGGAGTTTCACTAGCTACAAGAGATCTGCAGACAAGGATCGCAAATGCTTGAAACCAAACACAGTTAATGTGGAAGTTCAGATAATCAGAGTTTCTGCCTTGAAGCTGGACCCGGAATATTGGAAGAGTGTCTCTCTCTCTCTCTCTGTCTCTCTCTCTGCGTGTCTTTCGTTAATTAAACTCTTCATATCTTTCGGGTTTATATAAATGATACTATTTTTGCTGTACTGAAGCAGGCTCCGAGAAGGCAGTGCTGTCAAATTATGGATGGGGGAAGCACCAGGGATGACGGTATGAGGATCAGGATAAGGAAGTGTAGACCTCGAGAGATAATTACTTTTTAAGGATCCTCTGCTTTTTTCTGGGAGGTATAGTAATAAGTAAATTATTGTTACTCGGTCTTGTACGTCTGCCCACCGACATTTTCTTCTATGTAATTACTAAATACGTACTAAATCCTCAAAATAATTATGGCGTCTGCTCTGCTTGGTAAAATACTTTGAACGATTATCACTCCAGAAATTGCCTTCTAACGTACATACCATTCGACATTCGTAATTTGTCTTCATACAATTTTATTCATTAGCAAAAATGTTACGAATCTTTTACCTACAAAATATATTACAGATTACAAAAAATATTACAGATTACTGTCAAAACCATAAAAAGTACAATGGTTGATTTAATATTACAGATTACAAAAAATATTACGGATTACTGTCAAAACCATAAAAAGTACAATGGTTGATTTGTGCTCATAAAACACCCTGCCAAAGAAGTCCAATTCTATCCCTGTTATTCAGAGTGATGGCAACCAATAAATCCAGGCAGAAAACTGCAGTGTCTTCATCATCAGATACGCTGTTCCCATTCTGAGGTAGCCCTGCAGCACTTATGAGAGCTTTTGTGAGCTGCAACGGAGATTCAGCTTTAGAAATTTACTCTCAGTGAATATGCTGTCAATGTGACATTTCTGGATTGTCTCTAGGCAGTGGTGATTAGAGCCGCTAATTCAGGCAAAATCCAAACCTACTTGAAAAAAATTAGAGTCGAGCTTGGCTAAATGAGTTTTTTTAACAAAGTATGATACCTTAAGCTTAATTTGAATAAGCCTGATTTAAATTGAGCCCGACCTTTAAAATTTTCAACTCTATGTATATAGAGTTGGTAATTTTGGCTAAGCCTAACAAACTAGCCCGAATCCAACCAAAAAAAGTTAGAGTTGGATTTGACTATATGGGTCTGAAATGGTAGGATACTTTAAGCTCGATCTGAATGAGCCTAACCTGAATTGAGCTCAACCCAAATACACCTGACCTATTCGAATTATCGGCTCTAGTGTTGATGAGCAATAAGTTGCTCTTAAGTCAGTTCTAACTTCAGCTCTTCAGCCCCAAGATATTATAGTTGACTAAGCCTACTCATCAATCATGAGGATCTCTTTGGCATACTAGGTGGAAGATGAATTGACAATAAAAAAAATTTGCATTTTAAGGTTATAATAAGGACTAGAGAGAGTAGTTGTTAACTTATTAATATTATTTAAAAAAGAAAATTTTCATTTTATCTTTATTAGAAAGATGAATATCTTATCACTTGCAAAGATGAAACTTCAAGATCACAAATTGATTTCCGTTTGATAAGAAACACAGATAGAAGATTTATGAGAATGTCATAATGACACAACACAGGGTCATTGTCCTTAATATGCACCTTAGAAGCATGGGTATGCTGGCGTGTTCGTGTTGGATACATATCCAACATCGACACGCGTTTAGGACGTGAAAATGGTGCGTCCATTTTCCTAATTTTTGGCGATGCGTGCTGAGATAGGAAGACACGGGTCGGACGCGAGCAGATATGAAACTTTTCTTTTTTTGCTTCTTTTTTACTCACTCCTACCCCCAGAAACTAAATGCCCTAAGATTCCCAACTCTAGTTGTCCCCTTTCTTGCATATGCTTTGCTCTGTCGCGCGCTCCCTCATCATCCTTATTCAACAGTGCTTCTTTAGTTATGGCCGTCTGAGCTCTGTCTCAATGTCTCTCTAGTCTTCACTTTGAGGTTCGAATTCGACCCACAGTCTTCACTCTGACTCACGGTGGGTCTTGGTAAGTTGATCTTTTTCATCTTCTTCTCTTAGTGAACCTTCCCTTTAAATTTTGGCTGGGTATTGTTGAACGTTATCGTTCTGCTTCTTGCAGTTCTTGCATTTTCCTTCATTGTGACTAATCTTGATGGAAGCTTTCATGTTCCTGGTCGAGCTTATGATGAGTATAATCATGAGGGTTTCTCTAGTTGGCTCAAAAACCATGTTACAAGTCTTGAATCATTTTTGGCTATTATGAGAATGTTTTTGGTTGTATTATGCGCTCTCAATTATTATTGCTTACTAATTACTGCTGAACCCGAGAGAACTTCTTGGTCCGTTTCCCAATTTGAAAATGGCTGACTTATTGACATATTTGAGAATGCTAAAATTTTGAGAACGCTGAATTATTGATTTATTTTATTTTTTATTTGCATGGATTATTTTACTAAGTTGAACATTGATTTATTTTAAATTTTTATTAGCTCTCTTCATGTTAAAATTGCAAGAAATTGTTTACAATTTTTCAATAGAAATTAAATTTGTAATGGCTTCTAATTCTAGACCCAATAGTGGTTCAAGAAATGTGGATTCTCGGTTTCAATCTAGTAATGAAAGATAGAAAGAGAGTACTCCTTTGTGGGCTTATGTAACTTTGGTTTCTCAAGAAAATGAAGGGGAAGGTGGGAATAGAATTTGGAAGTGTAACTATTGTAATAACTAATATAATGGCTCTTATTCTAGAGTTAAATTTCATTTGTTGAGGACTTCTAAAAGGGGTATTGCTATATGCTCGACAGTTAATAACAGTTGTTTAGGTGAAATGCAAAAAGTTTAAAAGGAGGTTGAGAATAGAACAAAACTAAAACAAGTATCATTGCCAACTCCAATTGAGAGTTTATCCCCTTTATGTCAAAGGGGTTCTACTCCTATTCAAAGTGAACACAATTAAGAAAAAAGGAGGGCAACAAATACAATAGAAAGATCTTTCCAACAAAGAGCTAGAGAGAATTTAACTGTTAAAATTGCTAGAATGTTCTATTCAGCTGGCTTGTCTTTCGATTTGGCATGTAAACCATATTTTATTAGTGTATTTTAATATGCTGCCAATAATGAAATTTTTGGTTTTAAGCCTCTTGGATATAATGCACTAAGATCCATTTTGTTGCAAAAAGAAAGGGCCAATATTCAAAGGCAACTTGAATTAATCAAAGGGACTTGGAATCATAAGGTGATAAGTATAGTTATAGATAGTTGGATAGATGTACAAAGAAGGCCATTAATTAATTTTATGGCTGTAAGTGATGGAAGTCCTATGTTTTTTTAAGGCAATTGATGCAACTAATGAGTATAAAGACAAATTTTACATGGTTGACTTGATAAAGAAAGTAGTTAAAGAAGTAGCGTCTTATAAGGTTATCCAAGTAATCACTAATAATGCATTTGTTTGTAAATTTGTTGGTAAGATGGTGGAAGATGAATATCTTCACATCTTTTGGACACCATGTGTGGTGCATATACTTAATCTTGCCTTAAAGAATATATGTGCAGCAAAAAAAACACAGGTAAATGAAATTGTTTATGAAGAATGTCATTGGATCACTGAGGTGAGGGATGATGCAATCTTCATCCGAACATTTATCATGAATCATTCTATGGGATTGGCCATGTTTAATGAATTTGTGCCATTAAAGTTTCTTTCCATAGCCAAAACAAGATTTGCATGAACAATTGTGATGTCGAAGAGATTTAAATTTCTCTTTGTACATTGGTTATTAGTGAATAATGGAATGCTTATAAAGATGATGATGTTGGAAAGGTTGCTACTGTTAAAGACATAATTCTTAATGATATTTGGTGGGAGAAGGTTGATTATATTCTCTCTTTTACTAAACCAATTTATGATGTGTTGAGATTTGCTAACACAGATAGACCTACACTTCATTTGATTTATGAGATGTGGGATTCAATGATAGAACAAATCAAGGAATCAATTTGTAAGCATGAGAGAAAATTACTTTTTGAGTACTCTTCATTTTATAAAGTTGTTTATAACATCATCATTGATCATTAGACAAAGAGTGCCACTCTATTACATTGTCTTGCCTACTCATTAAATCCTAAGTGTTATTCTTATTTTTGTTCATGAAATTCTTTCCTTTACCATTTTTACATCACAACTCCAATTGATGTTACTATATTATTATAGGTATCATACAACACAATAGCTTGAAGGTGCACTAAATAGAGTCTCTCTACATAAAGATGCTGAAGTATCAACTGAGAAAAAAAAAGTGCCTTAGAAGGATGTTTCCAGATGAAGAAGAGAGAAAATTAGTTACGAATGAGTTTTCAAAGTTTTCTGGATGTTTAGATGAGTTCTCTTTTGTTGATTCCATACAAGATAGATGGATATTAAAGCTTAAAGTTTGGTGGAGCAATCATGGTGTCGATACTCCTAAACTTCAAGAGACTGCATTGAAACTTCTCAATCAACTATGCTTATCATCTTGTTGTGAAAGAAATTGGAACATTTACTCTTTTGTTCATTCACTAAAGAGAAACAAGATGCTTGCAAAAAGAGTAGAGAATTTAGTTTTTATTCATTCAAATCTTCATCTTCTTTCAAAAAAGAGTGAGAAGTATTTCACTGGAAAAAGTAGATTGTGGGATATTAATGGAGATTGTTGGAAAATAAATGATGCTGAAAGTCTTGAAGTTGTAAGTTTATCTCTAGATGAGCCAATTTTTGAGAGAGAACTTATAGGAGAGAGTAGTAGTGTCAATGAAGATGGAGAAGCTTAGAATTAATTTAAATTCATCATTATCTTTTACCATTTGGTAGTGCTTAAGTGCTTATTGTATTGTATTTTGTGATGGCATTATATATTTTGAAATTGTATTTTTGGACATCCAATATTTAATTGTTTATATAGTTGTACTTGTATTCTAAAATTTTGGAAAAAAATTGTCGCGTCTGCGTATTGTATTGTACCCAATACTCATACCCGTATCGATGCTTCTTAAATGTGCACATTACAACTAAAAATCAAAAGTTTCAATAAGTGATAATTTGATGATTAGGCTGTGGTAGTTAAAAGGTGAGAAGCGAGAAATTTTCAAGTGGAATCTTTTGATTGAAGGAATTTAGAAGTTCTAAGGAAGTGCTAACATTTGATAGGAGAATATGGCTAACAAAGTAAGGAAAGTTGTTGAAGAAGTTTTAGGAGAATTAAAAGATTTTGGTATGAGAGATGAGAAGTCTTAGTGGTGGAATAATAGTGTATAGAAAAAAATTAAATATAAGAAGGAGTGTTTTAAAGTTATTCATTTGTGCAATAATGATAAAAATTGGGAAATGTATCGTATAGCTAAAAAGGAAACTAAGAAAGTTGTAAGTGAATATCATTCTAAAGAATTTGAAGATTTTTACA